CCATCTAGACACAACCTCCATGGATCCACCGGACTTTAAATAACTATTTTCTGACTTACAATGACAAAGAAATCGCCTCTTGAACATAACATCAACAACTTGGTCGCGTCGGTCTTTTAAACTAAAGACATACCTCAAATGACCTTCATGAACGCAGAAGGTCCACCACAAATGCGGCAAGGGCATCACAAATGCGGCTAGGAAGAACTCACTTATTCCAAAATCGCGGCTAGAACCTCGTAAATGCGGCAAAAGCCTTATGAATGTGACCCTCAGGTCATCTGGTCTTCGCAAATTCCACCAAGGGCCCGTAAATGCGATGGAAAAATGGAGCATGCACCAGCTGATGCATATTAGCTTGTTTTGGCAAGTTTTGAAATCTCGGATGGGGTGTACCAAATTCGTTTGAAACCCTGTGCATGCAAACGATATATGGAACCCTACAAAATTTTCTATTCAAAACTCAATGGAGTAGTAAAAGTAAAAATTCCCATATGATGTCTTCTAAAAAAAAGTAGGTCCCACCGCAAACTCCATTTTAAACCAAAATCCATAAGAGGGCTTGAAATTACCCCGAAAGCCTTCGAATCCAAACGACGGGTCATTCTAGATGAAACTCAACATTCTCGGATTTAACCACGCTGGTGGAATTTCCAGTCGAGCTCGTTTACTGAAAAATTTGAATAAAGTCAAACTTAGGCCTCAACTTGAAATTTAAAATGCCTAATCGCACAAACTCGCACTGAAATCCTCGGGAGTCTTGCGGATCATGCTACTAGCCTAAAATGTTCCTTCTAGAGTTGATGGAATAGTCAGAATTGGATTTTGAGGTCATCTTCTCAAAATTTTGGTCAAAACTGACAATTCAAGGTTTAAAATTTCCAAAATACTAAAACTCACATTCAGACTAAATGAACGACCAAGTGACCGAATGTCAGTCCCAACAAGTAATAAATGACTTGGGGTCATAACAGGAAAGCGCTAAATGACGAAGCACAAACACAGAAATAACTTAAAGGTCATTACAATGAGGCTTCTTCTTTTGGCACATCAGTTTTTCATGCATGTGTTGATCTTTATTTTATTATAACTAGGTAAATTTCTCGCGCTTCGCATAGTCATAAATAATAATTACATTGAACTTGCTAATAGTCCTTTACAAATATCCATACATTAAAAATAATGGAAAAAATAGGTTCTTAAAAAAACATTAGCAATATTCCAGCATGAATTTGATTATTTGTCATTATCACATAACTCAAGAACCTCTAATGAATGAATTATTCAGGAAATAATAAATCATTGGTTCTTTAATCAAAATTTAAAGCGAAACAAAGAAGATAATAGGAATATATATATATATATATATATATATATATACAAAGGCATTTCGTAAGAAAAAGAACACACTTAAGTTTCATAGATTATACAATAGTGATATGTCTTAGGAAAAAAATCAAAAATTCGTTAACAGATTCAAAAAAGAAAATACGCTTGAACTTTTGAACTTGCATAATGAATTTCTTCAATTGATAAGTGAGAAACTTCATATCTATGTAAAAATAGATAGTATGTAGGCTTATATATAGTACTTTTAAGATATAAAATTTTATATAGAATATCAAAACATGAATTGTTGGAACTATATACAATAACTATTTTCAGCACAATGAATATACCTACTATATGTGTATATGTTCAATAACTTTGTAGAAACATAAACAACAGAGTTTAAAACATGTAATAAAAAACAGCAATTAATATAATAAGCATAAAATAATGACTTTAAAAAAACATACCAGGATATGAAAAAATAGAATGAGTAGAAAGGAAAAAATCGAGTCCACTGAATGCGCAGTATCCCCTAAAAAAACTATTCCCCTCTAATACCTGCGGTTTAAAGAATTAGATCCTCTTATGATGGAATGATTTTATTCACCAACGTATTGATACAAAAACAATGGTATCAGTAAGCCACTCAACAAGAGCAAAGTACATGAATATTTTATTTTGCAGAAGAAAAACAAGCTCATAATTTTCGTTGTTTTAAAATGAGAGGAAATTCCTCTATTTATTGACAACAAAGGGTAGTGTGAGCAAATACTTATTATGCTTTATCGGAAAGGTCACAACTCTTTGGAAAAGTCACAACCCTTCGAAAAGGTCACAACCTTTCATAAACGTCACAACCTTTCATAAAAGTTGCAACTTTTCATAAAAGTTACAACTTTTCATCAAAGGGAAGGATATATATATAAAGGCATTTCGTAAGAAAAAGAACACATTTAAGTTTCATAGATTATACAATTGTGATAAATGTCTCAGGAAAAAATTCAAAAATTTGTTAACAGATTCAAAAAAGAAATTCGCTTGAACTTTTGAACTTGCATAATGAATTTCTTCAATTGATAAGTGAGAAACTTCATATCTATGTAAAAATAGATAATATTTAAGCTTATATATAGTATTTTTAAGATATAAAATTTTATATAAAATATCAAAACATAAATTGTTGGAACTGAATACAATAACTATTTTCTGCACAATGAATATACCTACTATATGTGTATATGTTCAATAACTTTGTAGAAACATAAACAACAGAGTTTAAAACATGTAATAAAAAACAACAATTAATATCATAAGCATAAATTAATGACTGTAAAAAAAAAAACATACCAGGATATGTAAAAATAGAATGAGTAGAAAGGAAAAAATCGAGTCCACTGAATGCGCAGTATCCCCTAAAGAAAACTATTCCCCTCTAATACCTGCGGTTTAAAGAATTAGATCCTCTTATGATGGAATGATTTTATTCACCAACGTATTGATACAAAAACAATGGTATCAGTAAGCCACTCAACATGAGCAATGTACATGAATATTTTATTGTGCAGAAGAAGAAGAAGTTCATAATTTTCGTTGTTTTAAAATGAGAGGAAATTCCTCTATTTATTGACAACAAAGGGTAGTGTGAACAAATACTTATTATGCCTTATCGGAAAGGTCACAACTCTTTGGAAAAGTGACAACCCTTCGAAAAGGTCACAACCTTTCATTAAATGTCACAACCTTTCGTAAAAGTTGCAACTTTTCATAAAAGTCACAACTTTTCATAAAAGTCACTCTTTTAATAAAAGTCACAACTTTTCATGAAAAGGAAGGCTAGATTTGGAAATAAATAAATTAAGAGGGAATTCTTGTTTGTGATGGTGCCACGTAGGCGGGCCTAGGGTTCTCTTTTATATATATATATGATATATGATTGTTGGAATATACCATATAGTTTGAAGTAAGGATAAAGAATGCTTTAACTTTTTTTTTCATAGCGTTTCTTTAATTCATGGTGTATATAGTAACTTTTCGACATTTATGACAAGACTATCATTTAAAATATTTTGCGTTAACAAATGCATAAAGCATAGTGTCAATTAGTTTCATAAATTTTATCATGTCATTAATGATTTGATACTCATTATTTACATACATTTTCTATGCTTTTGAGTCTCTTCGTTTATTTTTATTATTGAAGAAGAAATAAAAGGAAACATTGATATTTTGTTTTTTAAAAAAAGAATGGGTGAGGAAGAATTAAAACAGAAGAAAAAGGAGAAAGCATAAATATTGAAATAGATCTGTGGTTTCATCTAAAGGATAAATTGGAATAAACTTAAAAATCTTATAAATTGGGACTTGTGAACTAATTTATTTTTTAATTATTAAAAATATTAGTTTTCTTATCATCGCATGAAGGGCGGACATATTTACTAGTTAGATATAATTTAAAATTTGTTAAATCTAAATATGAACATAAATATTAATTTATTTATAATCTTTTCATATTTCATAGTTCCGAATTCTTTCTAGCATGTCCTTCTCACAGAAACAATAAATTAATTTCTAAAAAAAGCATTTTCCATTGATTTTCACCCACAATTGCATTAGTTCTCTCCCTTTTTAAAATTAGTTTTTTACATATTATTCAAGATTTCTTTAATATTTAATAAATGGTCCGTATTACTTATGACCCACAAACTGTCCCAAAAATTACCGTAATTGTGGGTTGGATCATTTCTTTTATTTTTTCATCAAATTAATATTGAATTAACGAGTCACCAAATTTCTCGATGAACCACAATGCAATTAATAAATGTTAATTAAAATTTGCACATCCCCTTGTAGATAAGGTTTACTTATTAGAGTCATTTCAAATATGTAGTTACTTCTTTTAGCAGTTCATTGAACACTATGTTAGGTAAATTTATCATCTTGTGTGTTTAGTTTGAAAAATATGCATGATATATATATTATTAAATTAGGCAACATGCATAACTATACAAAAAGGAACAGTTAGAGTACCGAAGACTTCTCTGTAAAATGTATGGAATAATTGTAGTTGATAGTCAAGGGTACTAATATTTTCTAAAAGATACAATTGAAAAATATATCGTGCATTGTCTAGTTTATTCATGGTGATCACAACCTTTATGTAATAATTCTTTTTATTTTTTTATGTATCGAAATCTATAAACATAAGATTTTTCTTTTTTGAAAAAAATATATTTTCTTACATTGCTGACATGATGTATCTCCACCCTTGTAAATATTTCTTGCAAATCATTATCGGCCATAACAATTGGGGTATATTAGTGGTTAGTACACAAATAGAGTCTACTCAATATCATGGTGTCTATAATGTGCATACAATGTACCATTGGATTAATACATAATTTGTTATAATCATTTCGTAAAATCAGTTTGAGATAAAAAATTTAAATTAAATTTGGTGCATAGACCAACTTTATGTGTATTAAAATAAAATATAAAATAAAAGAACAAAATAAAGCAACAAAGAATGGGCCCAAATATTCCAATCCAAAATTAAAGCTACATAAAATAGTGACTAGGCCCAAAAAAGACCTAGCCCAAAAGAATAAGAGTATTTATTTGATCAAAACATACTGAAGTGTCTCTATCTTTCATTGTATTGATATGCAAAACCCTATCAATATTGCTTTTCTCTTCACATTTTCAGTTTCAATTCAATCTCCCAAGGTGATTTCTCCCCAGATTTGTTATCTTTGATACCTTCTTCAGTTATTCCATGTACAAATGTCTGATCTATGCTTTCTCATAGTATGTATCGATCCCCTAAATAGATTTAAGAGTGTCTTATTTCTCCTACTATAGATCGTCTATATTCTTCTCTTTTTTTGGTGATGATGACCACATGACAAGCTCAAATCGATAACCGTCACGATGAGGTATGTAATTGGCAATTCCTCTTGAGAGTGTTTCTTAATGATGTATTCTTTATTTGATGTATGTAATTACCTAAGATATCTGGATGTCTTTCATTGTTTTATTTTTCTCTTCTCTAGGCCTATGGGTGTATTGTATGATAATATGCTTTGGTTTACCTGTAGTTTCTCTACTTGTTTCTTGCATGTACTAGACTTTGTAGGTATTTTATGTTTATATCCTAATTAATTGTGTGTATGCTTTGTCCATGTTTAGAATTATTCTCTTCATAGTTAGGAGATCCTAAAAAATTATATATTGACATATACCTTCGTTTTCTAGAGCTGAGTTGGCAAGATAATTTGCTAAATAGTTACTTGTTTCTTAATATGTATGAATAATTTGTATATGTTGTGTCGCTGGTTGAGACACAGTTGATTGAATGATTAAAGATAAAATTAGTGTTAATATGTGATTTTTATTTCGAAAATACATCTAATATGAGAATGTGCACAAAGTTTTTTTTTTCTTTTTTTTGAAACTCACCCATAAATATATTTCTCAGTTAATGAAGACAGTATTAGTTTGATTTATTTTTGTAAGTATAAACAATTTATAATTCTTAGTACATAAATTTATATGTACCAATTTCTCAATGTAAAAGAGAGAATTTTCATACTTCAATTCAGAGTAGGCAACTTAGTTCATTACTAGATAGTACACTTTTATATTAAAATTATAATAACCAAAATCTGCATATGAATTATGAATTCTAAATAACTTTCATATTAAGAAAAGTTTGAATTTGATGTAACATTTAATTCAAATTTTGATGCGCTCATTATATTACAACATTGATATTATTTAACAGAGTTTAGGAGTCAAGTTAAGTTATTTGATGTGTTCAATCCCATGACCACAAGTAGCTATACTCTGTGAAATTATGGAAGGTGTGTCCTTGAGCCTCTATACAAGGTAAGAATTCATAACACTGCCAAATAAATTGTACAAACTGAGATGTTTTTTGGATAGTGAGGATAATTTTATTTTAATCTCTTTAAATAGTTGTACTTGGAAGGAAATATGTGAGTTATTTATAATTTTGTTTGCTAGCGGTGATTTTAAGGAATGTTTTTCATTATTTCCTTTGTAGAGCTACATTTACTTTGTACTACCTGCCAAGGATCTAAAAATAAAAATACACGTAAGGATATGACTAAAGACCAGTCAACTTTATGAGTGTTATTCTCGAGGAATAATAAGTGACAAGTGAGCAAGATGCCTCTTACACATTGACTTCTTATCATATAAATAAGTTCTTAAGAAAGTATTCAGATGCAATATTATAAGGATTCATATACATAGAAGTGTTAAAGAAGCACATTTTTTGTTAGTAACTATAATATATCTTTTTTCCTACTTAGATGTCTTCATTATAACAATTCAATTCTTTTAGAATCAAAGTTATGAGAATAAAATCTCCATCTATTTGAGGTAAGGGTCTTTCCCTCTTCGTCCATCCTTGTCGATGACTTTGATTGAAAAAATTTAAATGTGTTTTTAGTAAGAACTAATGGGATGGTGATCAAAAGACGTGAGTTCGTGTTTTTTTCCATTGTATAGAAAAGTTTTGGAGATATTTTATGCACTAAATTGTTAGAATTTTTAACTTTGTAAAAAAAATATTTTAAATGGTAAACTAGTAACTCATTTTTTATGGGTAAATTTATAATAAATTTTAGCTTTGATTGTTCTCATATTATATGTATACTATAATAGGATATGATTTATATCAAAATATTTTTATCTGACAAATAAGAAATTTCTTTTATTACGAGGAAATTTACTACTTGTATTGTCTAGCTTACTTGATATCCCACTAAAATTAAAATGGGGCATAGTGTATCCCATTAACTATTTAGATCAAACTATTTCAAATTAAATTAAATAATTAAATACTTTAAAACTGGAGTTTCATAAAATTATTCTTCCCTAATTCTAAATTTTCATTCATTTGTTGGTATATAAGAAAGTACCAAAACACTAGTTCAAATTAAGTTCTCCCTCCGTTCACTTTTACTTGTCCATTATAAAATATGTTTTCACTTTTATTTTTCATTTCTAGCAAAAAGTGCAATTGAGATTTAGCCTTATTTTTTTGCTTCAGGGTTCAAGAATTAATTGTTATCTCCGCCACCACACCGTACTGTGCCAGTCATCTCTTCCACTCTCTGCCGCAGCTAACCTCACTGGTGATTGCGACCTCTCCATCCATATTTGTTAGGGTTGTTTGATCGCGCAACTGTTAGGTTTGCCGCCACCAGCGACTCCCATGACCTAGAAACTCAGATCTCTTATTGCTTTATTTTCTCTCTTATATCTTTTCTTCTTATTTCTACTCCCTTTCAAGGTACTACCATATAAGATACAAGCTAGAAAATGATAACAATGATTGGATCTTGTCCTACTCAAATGACTTTTCGTTGTATCTCCAGTGACCCACACTCTTTCGCTTTCCCTATTCCTTACCATCGTTTCTTTCTATTTCTACTCTATTTGCATGTATTATTATGAGCCAGATTCAAATGACAAGGTTCCACTGACAACTGGAATAGAGCCTCCGACGACTTCCAATAAACTTCTGGTGACCTCTAGCGACGACAAAGTATCAGGTTTCTTATTTCTACAATGTTTGCTACACAAAAAAGGTTCAGATTGAGCTCTTGCAATATTTTCATTTCTCACATAATATTGTCGACCGTACATGTACCTTTCTAATTTTCGTTGTATTCTTACATTTGATCAGCTGCCATTTATAATTCTATTTCATAGATTCAGTGATTTATTTTCTACTAGTATTAAGACTAGTTTTCATAAGCCCTATGTTCAAGTTTTCTCTAATATTTGACTTTGTTCAAATATATTTGCATATAGAGTTATTTTTCAGATCTAATGTTCAAATATATCTTTCTTGTCTCTTGGGCAAGTTAGTGCACACAGAAAGTCTTTGGGTACTATACATATTTTAGGGTAGTTAATGTTAAATGTGTTTTTAGCAGGATGAGTAGAGGAAAACGATGGACCCGATGAGATTCTGGTGAAATTATGGAAGAACAAAGACAAGGCATGTATAAAATTGTTCACTAGGTTGTTTAATGTAACTTTTAAGATGACAAAAATACCTAATAAATAAAGGTGGAGTAAAATGTTTTCATTGTATTAGAGAAAGGGTGACAAATAAAGGTGAAGTAAGAGAGGTTGTATTGGACACCCATCACTTTTCACCAGTTAGAGATGCCCTCTTTAATACATTAAGAAAATATGTTCACAGGAGCCAGAAATGCTTTGTCATAGGAATTTAGAACACATACATGCTGGTAAACGAAAACCACCTCGATTAGATTAGAGTAAATAACAATGTCTAATCAGGCCACCCTTTGTCTTGAATGAATTCACACGCGGCCACCAGCTCTCCAAATATAAGGGGAGATCTGCTGCTTCCTTCTCATGGAAACATACGACCTATACTATAGTCAAGTAGTTAACTTATCTTTCCAATCTCCTTTCCTTCTATTCATCATATTTTTGGCTTTGACCCAATGAAAAATGGGGTTGATGGTGTTTGCTAATAAATGGGGAGAGAGGAGAGCTATAGGGTATGCTCACTTTTGCATTTTTTTTAGGTTCTCTAGATTCTGACTCTCTTTATTTAGTGGGGAGGTAATACGTGAATAGCGGTTCTCAGATGAGGGAATAGTTCCTCTCCCATAAAAAGAAGCTAGAATCTTTCTATTGATAGAGCTTTCACATCTGCGCATCGAATCCTTTTTTACCATTCCATTCCGTTCTTACGGTAGTTGGTCCAGAATCTATGTGATGGTTCGAAATTTATTTCAAATACTCTTCACATCACCAGAGAGATAGCTTGGTTCTATTATGCCTTGGTCGTCAAAATAAATGGGCATAACATCCTTAAAGTACCGCTTCATGTCCTAGAGGTCTTCGAGCCTTGGAATTTCGAATCACGTTGAATGGTTGTGGTTTCAATACTCAAGTCTGGAGTTTCCAAGTGAGACATTCGGTTCACGAACCAAAAAACTGCTTCCACAACAGGCTCCTCATTTTGACCTGGTTTGTCACGCTTTCAACATCGGCATCAGGATCGTTGAGGCTCCATGAAGATGAACTTACTTCACTGGGAAGACGCAGTACACATTAGTCAGCATCAAGTGACCAACCATTCCAAACTCTGTTTCCTTTCTACCATAGTCTACACTTGTTCATCCAAATGGTCGACCTTGACATCAAGTTACGTTACTCGATCCTGGAGTGTTTCCTTAACAACAGACGTTGCTGACATCACTCCATTTCATAAAATATCAGCCTCTTACGTTTTTTAAAGATCCTTTGAAATCTTATTAGTATAGCATTTTTTCCCCTTTAGATTAAGTCTTTTGTGTTATCAATGAAACCGAAAAAAGAACAAGTGCCTTTAGTATAGAACAAAACTTGTAGCTTGAATCTTTAAAAATTCCATACTAGGAAGAATTGTAGAAAATTGTTCGATAACACTTCTCCCTACTTCTTTCTCAATGATATCCGACGATCAAGACAATTCCGGTGAAACTCTTTAATTTTGTAGAAGTTCATTCTTATTCTTATGAAGCATATAGAATTTCTTATAGATTTGTCTCTCGGATTGGACCTATTCTGATTTTGAATTAACCATCGCTACCCTGTTATGAAGGACTAGCAAAATTGAAATAGCAAAATTCTTAGTTCAACTCAATGGGTTCAGAAACCACACATTTATGTGGATCATCATAACATACTTCCACATATCCACTTAGAGGAAGGCCTTCTTATAATGGATGATCCTCAAAACCATAATTTGTTGATATATGACATAGATCTCGATGATTGAAGGACGAGACACCAAACATTTCTCAAACTTCTCACTCCCTCCGACCGACTGATGGAAATAGACTAAATACAGCAGATATTCGTGCTACTTTGACTGCACTGGTTTGTATATGAAAGTGTAAGTTATATTGAATACTTAGTAAACTATAGACAATTTCAAATCTTTGTTTCATAAGGTATAATCAACTCCGCAAATATCGATCGAAACTTGAACCCTTGTATAGGTATGCAATTTCAAAAAGCACAACAATTGAAATAGGCAGTCTGTATTGGTATCAGATATATTCTCATGTTCTGATCTTTCCTTTTTTTGACCCATTTCTTGGGTAAAGTGTCCCAACTATATTTGATAATGAATTGATTATCCATAAACATAAAGAAATTGTACTTCTAGCTCCTCTTCTTGCTCTTCTAATTTAGAAAAACTTATAAAAAATCCCTGGTTGGGTTAGTCCAACCAAGAAAGGCATATGACTTTTGGACATTGCTTGGGTTGAGCTAGGCTACATAGCGATTACAAGCAACCTCACTACACAATTTATATATATATGGAGCACGGGACGTGGTGACTGCTGCGACTGTTGTCTGTAGGGTATCTAACACCCCACAAGTTGACTAGTGCTGAGCTAGGAGATTTTCCTTTGGATCGTTACAACGCTCATTAAACGGTTCAAGTAAATAGGTAAGAAGTAGTAAGCCTTATATGAATCCATTTCCATAAGAGACAATATGAGCAAAAGGCAGAAACCCTAAATCCCGCAAAAAAGAACTCACTCCAAGGGGAGTGAGGTTGGTATTCAAAAAGGGAAGCCGCGGGTTCTTCCCTTCACACCACGTTGACTCCCTCTTTACTTAAATTTAGACTTTGATCACTCTGAACTTACACTCTTTTGTATCTTGAGCCGTTTGACATATGTTGATACTCCATATATTTGGGACCTTCCATAAGAAACAATTTTTCATTTGTAGAAATTTTTTATTCCATAGGATCGTAGTAAAAGTTATTTCTATCATTCTTATACCTTGATTTGGGTAAATCTTTTTTGTCCATATCCTCTGTCATAGTATCTTATTTGTTTAGATATTCACTAAATCCGTCTTCATCAAATAAACTTTCATTTAGGCAAGTCTTTTTCATCCATATCTTTACTCGGAATATCAACATTTTCACATTTCTTTATATCTTCACCTAATTCTCCATAGTCATATAAACTTCTAAAAAAATAAAATTCACCACAAGTAAATAATATTTTATTCAATTGTGGTGGTTTGTAATCATTAAAATTAACAGGTGAAATATTGGACGTAACACTCTCTGCCTTATTGGTGATGGAAAATCATTGAGTAGAAGACTTCCATTTTTAATAGAAGGCTGAATAAGAAGGATTTGAACTTCCTTGAATTAGTAAACCACCCTGAATGTATGTTCCTTGGGTGCAATTTTTTTAATGTATTTTCTAGTAAGAGAAAAAACGGAAAATATATCTCCAATCAACATAATTTTAATGAAATGGTAACTATAATGAATTTTGCTAAAAGCGTAACATTATTTGTAGATTTTTATTTCTATGTTTATATTTATGTGTATAATTTGTCAGTTTGTTTGTTGCTAGGATTGTGCACTCACATCCAAAAGCAAGCATAATAATCAACACTCAATTAATGACAGAAGTATCATAATATGTTGATCGAGAGCAATAATGGTATTCAAGAGGTAGGAAGGAAAAATACTATTAGATTATATAAACTTATGTTCTGAAGTATTTCATAATTTACTAGTATTGAAATTATTTGTTTCGTGCATGATTTTTCTCATCACTGAAATAGTTTTGTAACCATTTTTCCCATTCTACTTGATTTTTCAGCAACCCAATTACCTACACATTAAAAAATAAAGAAATTCTTGGAAGGATGATATGACTAATAGATCTGATTAATCGAATGATGACATGATTGAACAAAAGGGGATTGATATTCAAAAGTTTTCACACTATGAATCTAAGACTATTGTTTATTAGCTGAAATAGAATTATGAATCTAAATTACCTGCATTCAGACTACATTAGAATGGAGGACATGAATATCATAGTTGTACAATCAAATTTGTAGTGCCTTTAATCCCTGCTAAATGATTATTGAAGTTTTTTCCATTTATATCATACCAGCAAAACACTTCATCCCCTACACTTTCAGGCTAATTTTATCGAACAATGGATATTGAATTTTAATCTAATTCTATTTTTTTAATCTCTAGATTGTTCTGCAAATGGAATTCCCAGTCCTTGCCTTGGATTCATTCCTAAAAGGATCAGTGTTCTAAGTTCTAGTAGTCGATTACACCTTTTTTAAGGATGAGAGAATTATTGTGTTTTTAATCCTATAACCAAAGACCAGAAAAATATCCATCCTCAATAGTATTATCATGGATTTGGTCCTACTGTTATTCTTGAATTTGATCCTCATGGTAATATTGTCTCTACATTACCTTATTTTGGTTAGCATATAATCTTATTTGAGATTTACACATCTCAATCAAAATCTTAAGAGATGCTCTTCTTTAGGTTGTCTTGAGTTAAAGATATATTTGTTATTGGTAGAATTTTATATGAAGGTAATGTCTTACTAGAATATAACATCAAACCATGTACTTGCATTCAATGTGAAAAATGAGATCACAACAGTTTTACATATGTCTATTAAACTCGGATTTATAGTGTCTTAACTCAGATAGAAGATGATTTATTCTTTCAAACTTCTTATAATGACTCTAGGCATGTTTTTTTATATTAAATATCTATGGAGGAAAGGACATATGTGTGAAGTGTAGTGGATGCAAATCTTTTACATAAGACGTCTTGTCAAGATAGCATTTGAGAAAATTCCATTTATTAACTATGGTGTTGTA